TGGAAACCCAATACCCATATTTAATTTTGTCTTCCTGACTACATTTTTCAACCGTGCGGCCATGCATAATCTTACACAGTCACGACAAGCCTGGAAACCCAAGACCCATATTCAATTTTGTATTTGCGACTCATTTTTTAAATGTGCGACATTATAATCTTAACACAGTCACGACAAGCTTGGAAACCCAATACCCATATTTAATTTTGTCTTCCTGACTACATTTTTCAACCGTGCGGCCATGCATAATCTTACACCGTCACGACAAGCCTGGAAACCCAAGACCCATATTCAATTTTGTCTCTGTGACTTACATTTTTCAACCGTGCGACATCATAATCTTAACACAATCACAACAAGCTTAGAAACCTGAGACCCATATTCATTATTGGATATATTTCATTACCATTAGTGCTATTTTCAAATTATACTATAGATTGCCCAAAAGGAAACATTTTTATTAAGGTAAAATAATAATAATAGTAATAAAACTAAAATTCAATTCGACTTGTCGTCAATACTTATCCTTGAATCATTAATAATAATAATAATAAAAAAAAAAAAAGGTAAAACTCAATTCGACTTGTCGTCATTGAATCCAAGCGTGTTCTTCACAGTGTCTACAGCACCTTGAGCCATATGCATCATTTGCTCTCCCGTCTGCAAATTAGAGTGTCGTTGTCGTTTAATATATAAGATTTAAACCATAGATTTTAAGGTATACAAAAAAACCAACCTGTTGGAGAAACCCAGAAGTTTCTTGCTTGGTTGCATGGGCAGTAGTAGTAGCTGCCTCATCCCTCGTTTGGTTTGTCGATTCCATTTCCGATCTATTCCATGCTTCACGGTTACCCTAACAACCCATTTACATACTCGAAACCTTAGCCCGAGAACGATTCTCGTAAGTAAATAAGAGCTTTTTACGAAACATTATTAGCTAAATTTTTTACTTTGGAGTACACCCATCTAATTAAAGATGTCCATTTTGCTCGTCTAGAGTGACAGGAGGGAGTGGTTGGAATATTTTTTCCCAGTTAGATAAATGGGGTCAAGGACGGGATCATATTCCTCATTCTCATCCCATCCTGCTTAATATATATACTATGTTTTAGATTCTTTTTAATTGTTAAAGACTATATTGTAATACTAAATAATTACATGGTGTGAACTCGATATCCACAAAATAAATGAAGAATTATGTCTGGATAGATGGGTGGCGGGATGGAAAAGGCTCCCCGTTCTACCACGTCCAGTAGATATCTCTACATTCAGGACTGTTTACGACACGATTCTTAATAAGATTAAAAATTTAGGTACCTCGGATTGGTCTGCCTTGAATGATAGTTGCATGCTAGACATGTTTTTATGATTTTTTTTTTTTTTTAATGATGACTATAATGATTTTGGAGCTAATTTATAGACCAAAATTGGATCTCAATTTTATACGTGGCAGTTTTTGATTGGTGGAAATTTTCTGGCTCAGAAAATGTCATGTTGGCCTACTGAATCTTTCAAATGTGGACGGGTTCAATGTGGGCGTTTGGCCGACACGTCGTATCAAATTTGCCTATATTTGGTATATTCATGTTAAATTTTGATTATAAATAAATAAATAAATAAATCAATTAAATTGAAGTGATACCACAACCAACCAAATAAAAATTATATATTAAAAAAAATTCCTAAAATTATAAATTTGGTTAATCAACCCCTCTGAACCTCGTTACATGGGTATACATGAGTCTAGTTGGGTTAATAAAAAATTTATTGTTTGTTGAGTTCGAGTCGAAAAAACAATTACGTTTTTCTTTCAAAACCGTAAAAGTATAAGGAAGTGAGGTGCATGTGATGTGGTTGTTAGACGAACACGACTCTCCACAATGGTATGAGATTGTCCACTTTGAGCAGCTCTCATGGCTTTGCTTTGGTCTTCCCAAAAGGCCTCATACCAATGGAGAGTGTATTCTTAGATTATAAGATTATAAACCCATGACCATTCCCTAAATTAACCGATGTGGGACTTTCATCATCCAACAGTGGTTTCAATGGAACTCTCACTTAAAACTTCATTGTCCATTGAAGCAATGTTAATGATTATAACAATTGAGTTTTAAATGTTAAATGTTATTTGATACTTGAAAAATTCCTTAAAAAGGATTAAAACGTCATTTTTAAAAATATTATCATAAGATATTTGAAGGAGATGGATTGTGAGATCTTAGAGAGGAACGAAACATTGCTTGTAGAGGTGCGAAAACGATGTGTAATGGACCAAAACAGACAATATTCGCTAATGGTAGGCTTGGATTATTGTAAATGGTATTAGAGTTAAGTACCGAGCCAACGAGGTTGGTTGGGCTTCTAGGGGTGGACAGTAAGATCTCGCATTCCGGATGTACAAACCTCTCCCTAGCACATTAATATATTGAGAGTGACACATTGGATTTTGAATTGAATTCAATTTTAAAAAATATATTTATAATCTCACTGCTGAGCTAATGCGAAGTGTTTTCTTTCCAAGTATTACAACAAATTTCCCATTCAGAAAGGGATAGAAATTACACAGATTTCCAATCTTCCATAGCTACATCACATTAAAAACCAGAGAGCTACAGAAGAAAACACAGAGCAGAGGAAGAACACAGAAGAACACCAGACACCCATTTATTCATCGACTATGGAGAGTATACAACAACAACAACAGTATAATAACCAACCTTCTTCAATGCATGAGAGAAACAGCAGCCTCTTGAACCAGAGGTTGAGTGATATGAACAAAATGCTGAGCTTCCCTCTCTATTTGCTCCCTACACTTATCTGGGTTCTTCCCTTCCTTCATCTTCTTCACAAACGACACAAATCTCCTCCAATTATCAGCCTCAAACAGCTGGGGATTCATTCTCAGGTACGTGAAAGCACACATCGCAGTCTCCTCTGAATCTCCATCGCCAATGAAAGAAGAAGCTTTCAGGATTTGTTCATGGGCGAATTCATCATAGCGTGGGAGAGCATTTTCGCCTGCCAGAGGGACTTGGGCTTTGTGGGTGGCTAGAGCTACCTGACGGACAAGCTTCTCAGGGGCACAGA